GCGTCAGACACTGGCTGACGCCCCCTCTCTCTCTCTCTCACACACAAAGCCAAGGTCGAAATGCGAATGAATCTTCCGCGATAGCGCGGAAGATTCATTCGCATTTCGACCTTGGCTTTGTGTGTGTGTGTGTGTGTGAGAGAGAGAGAGAGAGAGAGAGAGAGAGAGAGAGAGAGAGAGAGAGAGAGAGAGAGAGAAGAGAATGCCTCTCTTATCGCGGAAGATTCATTCTCGTTTCTAAGAGAGAGAGAGAGAGGGCGTCAGCCAGTTTCTGACGCCGAGTTTGACACTGGCTGACGCCCTCTCTCTCTCTCTCTCACGAGAATGAATCTTCGAGGAAGATTCATTCTCGTGAGAGAGAGAGAGAGAGAGAGAGAGAGAGAGAGAGAGAGAGAGAGAGAGAGTCAGCCAGTTTCTGACGCCGAGTTTGGTGCACCAAACTCGGCGTCAGACACTGGCTGACGCCCTCTCTCTCTCTCTCTCTCACGAGAATGAATCTTCCTCTTTATCGAGGAAGATTCGTTCTCGTTGGGCATGTCTCGTTTCGTTTTGTTTTTTTTTTGTTTTTTTTTTGCAGATGTTGTATGTTTTTTTGTGTTTTTTTTTTTTTTTTTTTCCCGTTGTGTACTAGCGGTTGCCCAAGGCTCGGCAATAAAGTCCAAGGCTCGGCAATGACCGGGCTACCGGTAGCCTGAGCCACGGGCCTTGACAACCAGTAGGTACTGGTGGTTTAAGGAGAGGAGGGGAACAAAGGTCTCCTTACTTTTCGGGTAATACATGTAAAGTACTGACCGTGGGATCACAAGTACTGCACGGCAGGATTTGGGTCAGTCAACTGCCCCGCAAACTCTTTTCTATCCTATCCCGTTGCTAGTGGGACCATGCTCCGGGAAGCAAACAACCTCGGACCATTACCCAGCTTAGGTGCAGGCGATGGGGTATGCCCAGATGCAGAATGGCCAATGCTCGATCAGAATGGCCAATGCCTGATCGCTGCACTGACATTTCACAACCATGGGAAAAAAACAAATCCACAAGGCTTAAACCGCAAGTACACGGCCCCAGCCTTGCAGAAAGTTTTTGTCGCCACAAGCGAAACTCGGAGGGGCTGTGCGGCGTGGGGCGTCATTGAAAAAAACAAAACAAACCGGCGGCCTCTGAAGTGGTGCGGGTTTTGTGCTGACACCCGCGGGCCGATGTGTGGTGTACTGGTGCTTAAAACCACCAGTACCTGGCCCAGCTATCGAGTCCGAGCCTCGGCCGACCGGTATGCCGATCCGTGACGAGGCTCGGACTACCGGGCACAGGCATCCCGAACGTCGGCCTGAAAGGTACGAAAAAAACGGGAAAAAAAATAACAAAATGGGAAAAAAAAACCGAAAAAAAAAAAGAAATAAGAAAAACGAACGGGCTCATTCCTGCTTTGCGTCGGAAAACCAAAGCGGGAATGAATGTTCCTGCTTTGGCACAGAGAGAGAGAGAGAGAGAGAGAGAGAGAGAGAGAGAGAGAGAGAGAGAGAGAGAGAGAGGGGCGGCAACATGCACGGAGGGTCGCGCCCAACTCGCCGCCCTTCTCTCTCTCTCTCTCTCGTTTCGAGAAACGAAACGGGAATGCATCTTCCGCGATAGCGGGAAGATTCATTTCCCGCTTTGCAAAACGAGACACACTCTCTCTCTCTCTCCTTCTGTGTATTTCTTTTTTTTTTCGTTTGTGTATTTCTTTTTTTTTTTCCTTCTCTTTTTTTTTTTTTTCCCCTCTACTGTGTCGTCCCTACAGAAGCGGGGCCCGGCTTTCTGGCTACGACCGGGCCTTCCCTTGGCCGACCCCCCTAAGGCTGCGGCGCGTATACGGGAAGGCCCGCGGCCGATAGCTGAGCAAGGTACTGGTGGTTTAACATGGAATTTCGAAGTGGCCCTCAGCCGAAAGTCGTTTGTATTGCAATCTTACACAACTTTTTTTTGTTTTCGGATTTTTTTGATTTTTTTAAATTTTCTCTTTTTTGTAATATTATGTGCTGGGATCGCCAGGGACCCTGCCCGGTTCCTGCCCAGCCCGGGCCACCCGGGAGGGTACCCGGTCGACCTTCCCCCAGCCGGACTGCCTGGGGGACCAACAGGGGATATAATACAGTTGGCGAGTTCAGATGTTCAGCGGCAGTGGCCGCAATCCAACACAACAACCTGACTGTGGCTATGTACCCAACCGCGCCTCTCTCGGTGTCTGACTCTTTCTCTTGTATATCTCTGTTCTCTCACTCTCAAGACTTGTATCGCTCAACTCTCCTCCCTAGCCTAGATCTTCTCTCAATGTGACTGCAGCGCGTTGCCCTACTCTTGCGGCTATGGCCGCCTTCTTCCTCAACCTTCTAACACGAGCTATGGTAACCAGGTGTCTTGTTCCCCGCCTGGCACGCGCTCCTCCTCCAGCGCCCACCTTCCATCCAGGTCGCACTATCGCACATGCGCCCGGCAGCCCTGCCGCAAATTGCACATGAACAGTTGATGCTGCTTGCTGATGCTGTTGGGCTTTTTACTTGGTGATCCGCCTTCCAGACATCTTCTGTTGGTTATGGGTCGGTCCCCTTTGCCCTTGTTCCATGCTTCCGGAAGCTTATGGAATTTTCTTGGGTTTCGCTGCTTGCATGGATTGATTGACACCTGGCCTCACGATGCTGGTGATCCTGGCTGGAGTTTGTGGTGCCTTCTAAAGACGAACTGTTCAACCCATAACTGCTATCTACCAGGGACTTCGTGCCATGATCTACTTAAGTAGCCCGCCTTGGCCTCTGCAATCATGGTACAAACAAATCTACTCTTCTAGAGTCTTCGTAAACATTGTACAAATGCCTGGGGGACTGAACCTGGGACTCCGGACGGGACCCTGGGACTCTGATGCAGCGTGAAGTCGTTTCAAACAGCAGCAAACAGCAGCAAACAGCAGAAGTAAGAGCAGCAGCAAACAAGCAGAAAACAGACAGAAAACAAGCAGCAAACAACAGAAGTCACAGCAGCTAACTGCAGAAGTGACAGCAGCAAACAGCAGAAGTAACAGCAGCAAACAGCGTCATACCTGGGCATCTAACTTTGTCAGCTTGAGCTTTTCATCAGGGGGAATTGGAATCCACCGTCCATCAGCGAATTTCTCTCCCTGCGAATGTTTGGGAAAATGAAATGGAGACAAGGCAGAAATTTGTTGGTCAGCGAGATTGTAAAGAGTCTGTTAACGAGTGAGAACAAAAAAAGGCGGCTCTCGGAAAGGAGAAAGGGGGCGAGAAAAAGAGTGAAAAGACTGAAAACTTGTGAGAAGTGTTGACAGTTGATGTCTTATTGACTTTATCTGTCTCTGTAATTGAGGAGAATGGTGAGAATAATATTGCTAATGATGAAGTTGTGTCATATTGCTAATGATTAAGTTGTTGCCATGTCTACCAGGTTGAAGAACCAGGACAACCAGCCATACTAGAAGATGTGAAGAATCCTTTGATTCCATGAGCAAGAAGACCAAAAATATTAAACTAACCCTATCCCTAGAGTTTTGGCACACCAAATAGAGGACCCTCAAGGGATAGGGTTATCAGATCACCCCAAAAGATTTAAACTCACAACTGAAGAGGCCATTTTAAAAGAAAGTAAGAATCAACCGGTCAAATGGAGAAGCATAACAGAATCCATAGGCTGGTTCGGCTCCAATCCACCAGACATAATTTGCTTTCAAGAAACACATCTGACTAACAGCACAGAACACAACAAAATTAGATTTGCTATTGAACAAAGGTTAAAATTCGTTAAAACTGCGATATGGTCACACACAACTCCCAATGGATCTGCAGGTACAGTCATCCTTCTCCACCAAAACTCCCCAGCTAATCACAACATCAGAATTGACAACTATAGTCAAGACAATGCTACAGGTAGGTGGGTAAAGTTAGATATCACATTCAAGGAAGAAGATTTGACCATTCTAGGGCTCTACGGCCCGACTGCTTACCAGGATAAAGGACCCTTCCTGCGGTCAATAGAACACTTAATCCCCAACTACACACATACAATCATCATGGGAGACTGGAACCTAACCCATAACCATTCTGTGGACAGAATTTCCAACTCAATTGGCAACTCTCAGGCGTCACTTAGCCAGGAGTTGTCTGATTTCATACTCAGGAAAAACCTACTAGATCCTTTTCGCCTACTCTACCCGGACATCAAAAGATTTACATGCATAAGAAGGACCTCAAATAGCAGAAAAACTTCTTCCTCACATCTGAGTCCATCACGGGTGCCATAATAGACTGCAATATTGGAAGCTCTCCCTACCACACAGGCCTAGACCATAAGGCCATCAATCTCATGCTCAGATTCACCAAGTCCGGCCTCACTGGTAAGAGCTTCTACAGATTCAATAATGCCCTGCTCACTAGCCAACCCTTCATAACCGAACTCAGAAACATCCTCTCCAATACCGCCCACCAATACCAAAGCGAGGACCTCTTCACCTCATTTCCGAAAATTATCAGCGAAATAAGTAAAAAAGTATCAACAATATCAAAAAAGCTTGCAGCACGAAGAAAGGAAAGACTAGAGATGTTTGAAACGGTTTTCACCTTTCTGCAGTCACAGATGTGCGCCCTAGAGTTCAATTCCCAGACCTCACTTTGCCCGTGTACAGTATCGAGTTGACACCCGAGTGTTTGAAGCCGTGACCTGTGTTTTAGTAGTTATTTGTCGTCTGACGTAGGTCTGTTTAGTAGTAGGGGTTCGATCTGTAGGTCTGTCAGTTAGGAGTCACAGGTTTGTAGAGGTCGTAGCTATAGGTGTTCTGAAAGGTCAAGGTCGTAGCTGCTACAGTCCTGAAAGGTCAAGGTCGTAGCTGCTACAGTATCCAAAAGGCCAAGTCCACAGACTTCCGGAAGGTCCAAGTGGCCTTTCGAAGTGTCTCACGTTTAGTCAGAGGCAAGTGGGCAAGTGGTGAGCCAACTGCGTTACGTCGGCAGTGCGACTGCATCGAGTTGGCACTGCAAACCCATGCAGTCAGCGGCACCGGTCCCAGTCAGTTAGAGTCCAGTCAAGCAAGTACCGTGTGGGACTGTGTGCACCAAGGGCCTGGAAAAGGGGCAGACCAACGAGTTACAGAAGTATAAATCAAGAGGCAGCGACCAGCCATTCATTCATTCGCTGCGTAAGCCATGCGGAAGCGCTGCTACAGCGTCTTGTGTGAAGGTGGTCTGCAGGTTGCCCGAGGTAGAAGTGGGCTGAAGGGAGACATAGTAGCCATAGTAGTACCGGCAAGCTGCCATAGCCGCCATAGGGTAGAGGTAGCTGATAGAGTGTGCGTGTGTGGAGTATTCAGGGTGATCCAGAGTGAGCATGTGCAAGCAGTGGTGTCGGACACAGTGACAAGAGTGGGATGTAAAGGCGCTGATGCGCCATAGCCTGTTGAAGTGAATTTGCAACTGGACTGTGTTCTCGTTGTCCATATCTCTGAGCTTTGAGTGGGCGCTCTGCGCCAGTGTGAATTGCCGTCTGTTTGCATGTATGCGAAGTGAAGAAGAAAGCGAGTCTGATTGCATTGGTATCGGAGCTGGTTCCCGTTACCCCACGCGCCATCGTTGTTGCCAGCGGGAAGGAGATGCGCACGCCAGTTAGGCGCCATAGCCAAGTTGCACCATCGAAGAAGATCCGCCATAGCTGCGCTGCGGAGTGAGGTGCTGAGTACCTGCACAGAAGACAACGACGAAGAGAGAGAGAGAGAGAGAGAGAGAGAGAGAGAGAGAGAGAGAG